ATATTTGACTATAAAAAGGGATTCAAATATGAATTACTTCCTCCGTTCCTAAATATCTGTCGTTTAAGGTTTTTGCACAGGGATTAAGAAAGCTATTAAATAGCTTTAGTATGAGTAAAAAATAATTGTACAAGACTAAAATACCCTTATTCAATACGTATTGAGAAAAAAATGAATATGAAAGATACTTAGCCTACACTTAATTTATTAAGCACTTATTAGAAAACAGAGATAAAGGTAAATTTAGAAGAAAAATATTAATTATGCTTTGAATTCATAAAACGATAGATATTATGGAATAAAAAAATTGTGTAAAACAAAAGATATTTAGGAATAGAGGGAGTAATATTTTTATTTGTTGGGTAAATGGATTAAATTCGATAACAAATATTTTAATTGGATTCGAATTAGGATGGACTCAAATCTGGTGACAGGTCTAGTAATTAGGTTGCAAGCCCGGGCCAATGGGCCAATGCCAATATGACTGGTCTGGGTGGGGCAGGGTCAACCCGCTCAAAGAATCACAGCCTTTCCATCAGTCAAAAAATCTTAGCCGTTGGATACATCTGCTCAAGGATCAACAGCTACAATTTTCGTTTCTTAAAAAAAAAAAAAAAAAAGATATTTCGGGTGGATTATCCAGGCTGTAGTTGCACTGCGGGCCTTGATCCAGTCAATAGTCCAAACATCACATTCTATGACCCTATTTGTTGACCAACCAGGTTCCTTGCGGGCCATCCCATGGGCCACTAGGCTGACACGTGGGCTGTTTGCCTAGGCTTACGTTCTTGTAGATTAGCCAGACGGGTTACACTCTCCAGTCTCTACCCATGGTATCAATTTTTTTTTTGTCCTTTTCTTTCATCGTATATTGACAATTCTTGTGGCAAAGAAGTGGTGCGGCTAAATCTTGTGACCCACTGAAGGCCTATTGAAATTGGCAAATATGTGTGTGTGGGCGCGCGCGTGAGAGAGAGAGAGAGAGAGAGAGAGAGGGGTCACTATCTTTTCTGGAAGAAGGATAAGAAAGAAAGCATGGTGGGAGGAGGGCATTAATTTCAGCTTTACTATGCCCTTGTGGCCAAAGCAATAATGTCTTAAAGGATGGTGACAAAGACTAGCAAGCAACCACTCCCCCCCCCCCCCGCGTGGGCGGAAACCTTCCTTTCTATTTCTTTTACTACGAGAATAAACATAACAAATAATCATCATACTATTAATGAGTATATTATGAAGACAATAGAGACAAATTTAGAATTTAAATTTGTATAAGTGAAATCTTTCGATAGGTCATCAGGATTGGGCTTAAATTCGTAAAGTTCGGTTCAATTAATATACCTACTCAAGTGTAATCACGTGAGATATACATGATGGATCAAAGTGACGTAAATTAAAATTTTGAAGGATCAAATTAATACAATTAAAAAATTATGGACCAAGTTGACACAATGTGCAAAGTTTAGAGGTCAAAAATATATTTCCCCCATGTGTTTTCACCAACAAAGAACAGATCAATGTTTGTGCAGACCACTTCAAATGGCCAAATTCGAAGAAGCTAGCAAGCCCACAAGCAACCATAATTGGATGGCTACGTCGAGTATGGGTGTTCACCCTATTTTACGGGTAAAAAATTTAGACTTTCGTCTTTCTACCCGATACTTTACAGAAGAATTTTTTCTTACCCTGCCCTGTCCTATCCGATCAGGTGTGGTATTACTACCCGACTTCCTACTTGATTAATCAGGTAGGAAATCGGGTAAACACTTTTGTAGCTATTAATTTTTGGATCATTTTAACAATTTAATTAAATAACATACATCAATTTAACAACACAATAAATCAATAACACAAAAATCTAAAACAACCACAACAACAATTATAATAAAACACAAGAAATCATGAACATCAATCCATCATAATTATTACACAAATACAATAACAATTATTTTAAGTTTAAACTATATGAAATACATTAAAATCATAACTGTTTTAATAAATCACTAGTTCACTACAAATCATGTAATCTACACAAAAAACAAGTCAATATTTTAGCAACTCAAACATCCACAACAACGATAATATTATAATATAAATTATACCACACAAATACTCTTATAATTACTAAAAAAAATATAAAAAAGTTAAATATATTTTTTGCGGGTAGGGTAAGATAAAAATATGAAAATTGATGGGTATTCTACATTCCTACCCGATTTAATCGAAAGACCAAAAATTCTTCTGCATTTCTACTCGTTTTTTACGGTTAACCGTTCAGTAGGATAGAGTAGGGTCGGGTAGGGTAAAAAGTTACGGCCAATTAAAAATTTGAACATCTTTAAAATCGAGTTTACATTGCAATGGCCTATTTTTTGGAGGTATGGGAGAATCGGGTGTTGTTTACCACCAAGAAATTACCAAGTGAATCTAAAATTATAATTAGAAAGTTAAATTCTTAACTTATAAAAATATAATAACAATTAAAATTGAAATAATTTTTATCTACTTTGATACAATAGTACAAAATTCATCCTAAACTTATTTTTTTTGGGTCAAAAAATATGAACTTCTTTATATGACCCTAATACCAAACAACTCAATCAACATACCTTTTAATGTAAAATAATTTTATCAATTTACATCTATTTCTTTTTAATTTTTATTTTAAATTATTATTTAAAATATAAATATTCCAAAATTTATTTAATTTTTAATATTGTATAGTCTTTTTGGATATAGAGTTATTGCTGTGACTACATAAGTTGCCAATTGAGTGTAATTGGCAAGTCTAGGTAGGTGGCCAAAATGCAAACAGAAAACCATAGAAAACGTTGACAGCTGGCTTAAGATGAAAGGAGATGAAAGATCTTCTATCCCGTTCACAAAATAATAATAATAATGTTGGGAAGAATGAAAGTTGACGGTGCTCAAAATTTACTTACTCGGTTATCGAATAATTTGGGCTCCCACTTCCTGAGCTGATTTTAGTATGTATCAAGCTTGTTTGTGTCAAACTAACATCTATATTGAGATGAATTATTCTGGGCTTCCAAGAAGTTGGGCTTTGGCCCAGCTCGGATTCAGTGAATGTCATATTGACGAGGCACTTGAATTGTCTTAGGTGAGTCCAAAGAGGGCTTCGGACTCAAAAAGGGAATCAAAACTTAAATCCATCTTCATCGAAACTCAAAAGGAATTTGGTCCACACATTAACTTGATAAAGAATTGGGCCAATGAGTTACTGAGATCAACCGGTCAAACTAGTCATATAATTAATAAAATAAATAATTTGTAATAATATAAAACATAGCTAAAAAGTATATCACAAGGTATTAAAAAAATCAAAAAGAATCGAGGCAAGAATAACCAAAAAGTATACATGATACAAGCAATCGCACATCGAAAGACATCAACAACATAAGAGGAGTAGAAGCCTTATAATGCATGAGGCGTCATCCACGTACCAAGTGGATTGTGAGTTGAATTTTAATATTTTTTAAGTAAAAGTTTAAAGATAAAACGCATAGGGGTGTAATTTGGACGGATCAACTCAAATTCAACATTACCCAATTTAGAAAAAAACAGGGTTCCTGAATTAGGTCTAGGTAGAAAAATATCAACTCGAATTAAATTTAGACAGTACCTAAGTTAAAGTCTTAGGTTATCGAATTCAATCAGAATATATAAATTGGGCTCAACTTGAATATATTTAAAAATAAATATATAAATCAATATAGAAATATAACCTACAATATAAAACATTAGAGATCAGTCTTTTGATTTAGTTTTATATTAAATATTTGGTTATTATGAATTTATGTTAAACATTGATTTTTATGCTTTAAATATTATGATCTTTATGTTAAATATTTGATTGAAGTTGTTGATTGTTACTTTAAGTAGATACTATACAGTATGTACCAGGTTTAGAACAAAGGTTAATTTTGGGCTTGAGTGAACCTAACTCTAATTCTAACTTGAAATTAGTTCAAATTACGTAACTTAAACTCAACTCGAATTTTAACCCAAAATTTGCCCAAATTACGTCATCCGAATTCAACACAAGTCTGCCCGAATTAAGGTTGGGCAGTACTCGGATGAAGTACTTTGGGCTGATGTTGAGTTAATATTAGGATTGAGAAATATATATCTAGGATTGAGTTCGGGTTAATCTCTCAACTCGACCAACTCCTAAGTTGCACTCCTATAAAAGTAGTGGTTCGAACAATGCTTTTCATTCAATGCATAAACTGGAATCTCGTCATAATAATTGTAGTATTCTTTCTGAATGACTTGTCTTCTGGTTTATTATAGTTGTTTAACTGTTGCATGGTGCAGAGATGTCGATTGAGTAATTCAAATATTCCTCTTAAATGGTTTGCCTTCTATTTTACTCGGGTGATTTGATTGTTGCATAGAAATACATATGCCGACTAACCTAATCAGTTGCTAGATATGATTTAATACACATCATACCTATCGGTAGGCTTTCTAGTAAAATGAGAGTTAATTATTGTAAGGTGACATTTTCATAACTTAGCCAATATAATGCATGTGAAATCCCCAAACTGAATAGTGCCTTTTAATCATCGCATTTCCACAGTTTTAATTAAGTTTGTTTTAATTAGTAAAAATCGGCCGGTCATATAATTCATCCGGTTTGGTCCGGTTTGAGCGGTTTTTGGGCAGGTGAATTACTTAAACAAGCTAATTTAAAAACCGGTTTAGTTAAAATACCGATTCACCAGGTCAACTAATCGGGTTGAGTCAAATTTTAAAATACTAATTTAATTTGATGCAAAGTGAACGACCTTACCAGGGTTTGAAAGATCTACAATGGCAGAATCAAAAACTTCAAAATAGGTGGTCAATTGAAAAAGACTAATAGAAATGACTAAAAATAGAGGTATATTCCCCATGCTTCAAACTTAAATGATGATAATGGTAGAAAATCAACTCGTATCTGATGGAAGATTACTTTGATGCTTCAAACCTAAATGAATGAGAGAGAGAGAGAGAGAGAGAGAGAGAATTCTCCAATCAAACTGCACTATTTACACATTATATCAAGTTACAACGCACTACAATTCAGCCTGCAAATACTTCTCTATATATTTTTACATGATATTAAGGTAGGCTATGTCTACATTGACAATATGCTGAAACAAAACTCTGCAATGGAACTGAAAGAAACTAACATCACTACTCGCCATCTTCGTTGTTGCCTTCAGCTCTCTCTTCTCTAATCGTCTCGAGTTTAGGAGAACTAGAAGGTCTATGTGGGAAAACAAGAGGGGATGGTGCAACTTCAATCCACGGCTTCATTCGCATTATTTCCTTCGCCATTGGCCTCGAAATGAAAGAACACTGGACACGCACACAAGACCTTGATTGATAGAAGCGAGATAGCAATGGATCGGAACTCTCTCTCCCCAGGGTCGTTGAGAAAGAGAGGTTCAACATGAGACTTCTAAATATTTGTCTACTCCTCAGAGGTTTCAGACAAACTGAGATGAAAGATGGGTTGAGGAAAGAAACCAGGATGAGGGGTTTAAATAGGAGAGGTAGCATGAAAAAAATATCATACATGAGGACTAATTGACGGCATTTAGGATGTCCGCGTGGTGAAATGAATATGACATATGTACTAATTGACGGCGTTTAGGATGTCCACGTGGGTGAAATGAATATGACATGAGATAAACACCGTAGAAAGCAAAGTGTTGTCATATGAATTAACGGTAGGCCGACCAGATTTTCAGTTTGACTCAATGAGTGGAGGAAAGAGATCTGTTCCAATTTCCAGCCCTTGTCCGCTACCTTCGGCACCCCCCCCCCCCCCCCCTCTCCCTCTCTCTCTCTCTCGTAAATAGACAATTCAAGAAATATCTGCTGGATGTTGCAAAGAAGTTTCCTAAAGATTCGGAGTATGAGAAGTTAGGTAGAACTTTAATGGAAAAATGCAATTCATCACAATGATTCTACAAGAATCGGATGATCAAGATTCAATCACGCACTTTACAAGCACCTCACAATTCAAATGATGAGGTGGTTGAACGTAACCGCTTGATTAATACTGAATTATAACATCTAAAATTTTCTACATCTCTGTGTGGTGATCGCACATTTGGGGGTGTTCACCCTATTTTTCGAATAAAAAATATAATCTTTTGTCTTTTTATCTAATATTTTGTGAAAAATTTTTTTTTGGTCTATCCTATCCAATCAAGTGAGGTATTCTTACCCAACTTTATGCCAAATTAATCGGATAAAAAGTCGGGTAAGAAATTAAGTAAACACTTTTGAAGTTACTAAAAATGTACACGTGCATTGCACGTAAAAAGAATTTAATTCATTAATTTTTTATTAAATTTATTTGAAATACAAAGTTGATGAGTAATAAAATTGAATTTTTTTTTAATAAAGGTAAGTGAATAATTAAAATACAAAGAAAAAAACATTTAATCTTTTAATCTCAAAATTTAATAAATTTCAGTCAATAAATGATAAAAATATTCACAAAAATGGTACGTATAAAAATACCCAAAAAATATTAGATTTAATTTATTTATTATTGGATTGATTGTTGGTCTCAATAAATGTTGAAATTTACCATCAATTCAAAAATTAAGAATAATTAGGCCAATATTATAGGAGATTTGAACAAATATTCAAAATATTAGCTATATGAGTAATGAAAAATTGGATTCACGAGAAGTTGTAATAAAACAAAGAACCACTAACATAGAAAATTTAACGTAAACATAGGAATTAATAAACTAACCTCAATTATGCCGAATACTCAACCTGCCACACTAATTTAATAAACTAAAATATAAGAATTAATAAATTAACCTCAATTATTATGCCGAATACTTGACCTGCCACACCAATCTCTTAGAAAGTTATTTGACATTAAATTAAGAAAAATTAAGTGTCACATAACATAGGAATTAACATAAATATATAAATTAATAAACTAAAACAGAGGAATTAATATACTAACCTCAATTATGCCAAAAACTTTAACTTCGATTTCATTGAGTTTGTCAAAGAAGAGCATAAGACCATATGACTTCAAATAAATGACTATAACAGACCAACTTTTAACTCTAAAGTGAATGGAAAAAAAACTTGTTTGATAATTTTGCTGAAAAAGTTTGATCCCCGTGGTAATAGAATCTTATATATATTTTTCTCTCCCAAAATCATCTTATCACACACACACGTTACTCTGCATAGACACCGACGTCTGACACCCTACACCCTCCCATGCCTTTTCTCTCTCTCTTTCTCTCTGCACACTCATAGAGGCCAGACACCTCTCCATCCCATCCTTCTTCACTCATATTTTAATTTTTGTTTCATCGACGCCTCTCTCTCTCATGCCAGTGCTCTGTTTTTGCAGAGTTGCATAAAAATTTGTTTTTTCCACCTTCCTTCCACAGAGAATTCTCTCTCCCTCTCTCTCTCTTGCTGGGAGATAGAGAGAGGGTGACAAATAGAATCTATTACTAATCTATCTCATTTATCAAACTTATTTACCATTCTACTACCATTTTAAACTTATTTACCAAACTATCGTTGTTTTAAAAGCGAATTTGACAAATCCAATTTTATGGGAAAAGTGAACATACCAAATCTGACTTCATTTAGAAAACAGACATACTAAATTCGTTTTTTGTCTCAACTAGTAATTTTTAATATTTTATCTAATTTTCTTACTAGGATACCACCCGAAATTCTTGATTTTATATATTTTCTCCCTAAAAAATAAATCACTCTTTTTTATCGTATATTTAATTATTTAATATTTGATTAATTTGTAATTAATATATTTTGAAAAAATTTAATATAGTGAGATCGATTTTTTAAATGCTCGAATTTTATATTTTATCGTACTTTCAGGCACAGGTTATAACTAATAAATTTAGATAGAATCTATTAGTGGATTTTTAACGACTAATAAAGGTGAGTAATTTATTCACAAAGAATATAGAATCAGAGAAACCAAACGTATTCAATAAATAGTCAAATACTCTTTTGACGATTAACACAATTATACATATAAAGGCTTGCACCTTGGTAAGTCTGTTTTTCATATAAAAACGGATTTGGTATGTCCCCTTTTCCTATAAAGTTGGATTTACCAAATTCGCTTTTCAATTGAAGTCGAATTTTCTAAATTCGCTTTCTAAATGAAGTCGGATTTGTCAAATTTGTTTTTCCCATTAAGTCGGATTTGTCAAATCCGCTTTTAAAACAGTGATAGTTTGGTAAATAAGTTGAAAACGATATTAGATCGATAAATAAGTTTGATAAATGAGATATATTGGTAATAGATTCGTGACAAATATGGAAGCTAGCTCGGCTTCCAAGTGGGTTATTGTAAGGGATAGAACCCTCTACTAAGGATTTCGGCTTGACCTGGGTTAACCCACGCGGGCGACCCCCCAGTAGCCTTTACCTCTCTTCGCCAATAGGACTCTTTCCTAAGGCAATCCCACATCGGAAGAGAGTCGTCTCCCCTCCTGCCATATAAGTGAACACTTCCTATGGAGGAGGTACCCACTAGGATCAGGTCGCTAGTGGGTACCTCCTCCATAGGAAGTGTTCACTTATATGGCAGGGGGGGAGACGACTCTCTTCCGATGTGATATTGCCTTAGGAAAGGGTCCTATTGGCGAAGAGAGGTAAAGGCTACTGGGGGGTCGCCCGCGTGGGTTAACCCATGTCAAGCCGAAATTCTTAGTAGAGGGTTCTACCCCTTACAGAAAGGCGCCTTTTGGTGGACAGGATTCCCTCCCTCCGAAAGGATTTTGACTGGCTTGCACCATTTCCTAAGGCAATACAGTAGTCTTTACCTCTCTTCGCCAATAGGACCCTTTTCTAAGGCAATCCCACATCGGAAGGGAGTCGTCTTCCCCCCTGCCATATAAGTGAACACTTCCTATGGAGGAGGTACCCACTAGGTAGATGTCATCCATGTATGTCCCCTGGATCGCCCCACGTCCAAGGAACTCGAGTCCGACCTCAAGAGGGTAGTTTTTACAAGGAAAGTGGCCGAGGATGATGGAGGGCCACCCAGTAAAAGGGCCAGGACTGGTGAGCCAAGCATCACGTTCTCGGACGCGGACTTGACAGGCGTAGTGACTCCTCATAACGACGCCCTTGTCTTGACCCAGAAGATAGGAAAATTCGACGTCAAAAGGGTGTTGATAGACTCTGGAAGTTCCTCGAAAGTGATGTACTCCGAGACTTTAAAACGGATGGGTCTTGGCCTTAAGGACCTGACCAAGGTCAGAACACCTCTCATCGGATTCAACGGCTCGTTCGCCCTACCCATAGGCAAAATCACATTGCCAGTTGTCACCGGTCCCTTCGTCATCAACACCGAGTTTGTCGTAATTGATACGGACTCGCCTTACAACGTGATCAAGGGGCGAACATGGCCGCATGCGTTGGGAGCGGTGCACTCCACCTACCACCAGAAACTAAAATTTGTCACGCCAGAAGGTATCATGGAGATTTGGGGTGACCAAGCGTCCGCAAAAAATTGTTTTTATTCAGCCGTTAGAGCTGGGGCGTTCACCCAAGAAAAGGGACGAGCACCGGAAGAGATCATGAAAAAATAGCAATCACAGTCCGGGCGTCCAGGAATGGATGACCCCCGGATAGACCCAACTGAGCGGTCGGTAGAGGACCTCCGGAAGGTACCCTTGATGGAGGGAGAAGAAGAAAGATATTTCTTAGTTGGAACTGCAATGCCCACAGCCGAACAAGAGGAGATGATTGAGTTCCTAAGGGGAAATGCAGACGTATTCGCTTGGAACGCAATGGAGATAATGGGGGTAGACCCCGAGATAATCACGCACAAGCTGCATGTTGACCCAACGCACAAGCCAGTCAAACAAAAGCCATGACGCATGGCCCCGCATCACGCCTGCGCGATAAACGAAGAAATCAACAAACTCCTGAAGGCCAACGCCATTCGGGAGATACAGTTCCCAGAATGACTATCTAATACGGTTTGCGCGAAGAAGAAGGGGGAAAAATGGCGTGTCTGCGTGGATTTCACAGATCTAAACAAGGTATGTCCCAAGGATGACTACCCCCTACCAAAGGTGGACCAGCTAGTGGATGCCACTGCCGGATATGAACGCATGGACTTCTTGGATGCCCGAGCGGGATATCACCAAATCCCTCTCCATCCCCCAGATCAGGAAAAAATGGCGTTTATCACTCCGAAAGGAGTTTACTGTTACAAAGTGATGCTGTTTGGACTAAAGAACGCTGGGGCGACGTACCAGAGACTGATGAACCGGATGTTCAAAAAGCAGATCGGCAACACCATGGAGGTCTACATTGACGATATGCTAGTAAAGAGCAAACGAAGTCGTGATCATCTGACAGATTTGGGCGATACCTTCTCCACCCTCAGGGAGTACGGCCTGAAGCTGAACGCGGCAAAGTGCGTTTTCGGAGTGAAATCGGGTAAATTTCTCGAATATCTGGTCAGCCAACGA